GAGCTGCGCTGCCCTGCCCTGGGGACCGGCGTAGCTGGCGGCGCACGCTCCTAGTCTGCCGGGCCACTTCCTCCTTTGCGACCATTTTCTCGTGCTCAGCTGCTCTCAAACTTTAGGGTGATGACGCCCCGGGAGGGTGGGTGAGGCTCGCGCCTTGAGCTGCGGCCCCGCCAGAAGGAGCAGGTGCCCGAGCCCGAGCCCCCTTCCCGGTTGGAGGTGGAGGCTCCCCCCGGCGGGCTGCGGCCGGCACCCGGGCCTGGGAGGAAGTGCGATCCGGGCCTCGCAAGACACGTGTTGAACCCTGTAACCCCGCAGGCCCAAGGCCTGTGCTTGTGGCGGGGCCGGGCCGGGGTGGCAGAGCCGCCAGGCCTCGGAGTAAAGTTAGTGGGGGTCGTGGGGTGGTGTTTCTTGGCGTTGAGAGTCCAAATTTTTTAACGCGTTGGTGGCTGATGAACCTAGAAACGGAAATTGCCACCGAGACGTGTACTTAGGGGTTTTCCTCTAGGCTAAGCATTTCTCATTGCGTTTACAGCAGGGTGATGGGAGGAGAGAGGGATGTGGAGGAGGACCCCTTTGGAGACCAGTTTTCTCGGACAACTTGTATCATTTTAATGAAATTTGACCCGAGTTTCATAACGTCGGTGATTGGTTGAACATATGTTTTCTTCTGAAACAGCTCCTGTGGTTTTGAGGGATTTTAAACAAAATATATTGACTAATATTAGCTGTACGTGTTAATCTAAGCTAGATTAAACCATCACATTTACCTGTAGCATTCAAGTAAATCATGTTTCTCCTTGTGGAAGTATTCCAGAATATCAGGATCTTGAGGAATGGTAGAATAGAAAATAACAGATTAAGTCGAGCTTGTGTTTTTATTTGAAGTTAACAGTTCACAGAAACAAAATTTGACAGTTAAGGTATATGACCTAATGAGTTAGAAGGGTTTTAGTAGCCGGATCAGTTGACTTCAAGCAGTCAGGCTCCCCCAATTGTGTGGCCGAGTTCCTTTTTCTTCCAGCTGCTTGAATGTGTAACAAATATTCTACAATTTGAGGGGTTCATTTTTATTTTAGTAGAAAAATATTTAAAGGTGAGATAGACTTACTTAGTTAATGGTTAGTAATGAGTTTTGCACTAGGCAAAGTAGATACCAGGATTTTAGGTGAGCAGAATATTGAGTGACACCGAGCCAGCATCGTAAAACTGCGCTGTAGCTGTAGGTTTCCTCCTTTTTTGCTTTGTAAGCAGTCACTTCATAACAGTTTTCAGTTCTGGACAGTGTGTGTCACTTCGGGGCAAGTAATCACAGTCTTCCAAGAGTAGGAAGATAAAATTTGAATGAGTTGTAGATACTGTAAAATGGTAACTGAAAAGTTTTAGTCCAGAGTTTAATGTTTTTAAATCCAGAAAAACAATTTGGAAATTGAAAAGTTGAACTTGAGGTTGCCATGGTTACAATACAGTATGTAGTTACAGATTATACTAGTAGACCAGGGCAGTAACTGCTCAAAATAATACAGCATTTTTCATCTTTTATTTCTTTAGTTTCTGTATGTACAGTTTGCCATCTTTTAAAGTAGTTTTTTAGGTTTTCTTTTTTAAAATTTATTACAGCAGTAATGATTTGTAGAAATAACTTCTGAAAGTGACCAGTATTTGACAGGGAGAGGTGACTCATTCAAAAGAAGCCTAAGCAAAGTCAGCTAAAAAAAAAATGGGGGAACTGAGTAGGTGTGGTGAATTGATAATGAGCTGACAGCTGATTATCACTATTTTCTAGAAACTGGAACTTTCATTTATACAAAGAAGTGGCTGGAAAATTTGTCTGCTTATAACTTTACGGTTAGGTTGGCCTGGAAGTTAGATGTTGTTTTCAGGACTTTAGATGGGCTGTCTTTCCCCTCTGTAGCTACTATTCTTTACTAAAGGTTTTTTTCTCTTTAGGGTCTCCGTATTAGTAAGTGTTTCTATAATGGTACAGGTACATATAACTCAGTCTTCATAGACTGAAAGTAATTGTAGGGTAGTTTTTTGAGAATTTCCAGCACAATCTAGAAATAACTTAGAAAATTGTCGGTTAAGTAAACTGGTGATGTAAGATAAAATAAGATTTGTGTATCAAGAAAAAATGAAAAATGGATTGTGAGTATTGTGGACCTGGTATTTCAAAAATTTTGTGATTATTACGCAAGTATGTCCAGCTTCACATTAGTTTTGAAGGCATTCAGATCTTATATAGCCTTTTTGCCATGAAAATCCCCCCCAGTGATTGAAGAAGTTGTGTTAATGGACTAAGTTTTTGAAAATGGACTAATCTATATATAATATTGGTAATGCTGAACAAGTTTTGGCAAATAGGAAGAAATTAAAATACTTAAATACAGACGTTGCTTTTCATCTTGTTGATAATTTACAATTGCTTAGTGTTTTTGCTTTGTTTCTTGAGACAGGGTCTCACTATGTGGTTCAGACTGGCCTGGAACTCCCAGAAATCCTGCCTCAGTCTCCCCAGTGCTGGGATTACAGGCGTGTACCACCAGGCCCAGCTGCCTAGTCTTACACCGATCTTTAAGTAGATTGAATGTAAAAGAAATACGATTTCATGTTGAGCAAAAAGGTGTTCTTAAATTGAATGGCAATGGAAGAGAGTGTTTTAGAAATGTGCGAATTATTAGCAATATTAAATTTCTTTTCACATTTTGGGGTTTTAATAATTTATCTTTGTAGTTAGACAATTTAAATGTAGATGAGTATTTGGTGCTTCAAAGGTTCACCAATCTTTTGGGGGGGTGGAGTTTGAGGCAGTGTCTCACTATGTAGTCCAAACTGACCTTGAACTTAATTGTGAGTCCAGTCTTGCCTCAATTTGGCGTTAATCCTCCTGCCTCAGCCTCCCAAGTGCTGGGATTACTGGCGTGCACCACCACGCCTGGCTTCAGCAGTCTTAATTTAAGAATTAAGCCGGGCGTGGTGGCGCATGCCTGTAATCCCAGCACTCGGGAGGCTGAGGCAGGAGGATCGTTTCGAGTTCGAGACCAGCCTGGGCTGCAAAGTGAGCTCAAGGCTGGCCTGAACTGCATAGCAAGACCCTGTCTCAAAAAGAAAAAAAAGAAAAAAAAAAGAGTTCACCTGTGAGACCATGTCCTACCCATTCCACCCTCCATAATGGATGTAATTTTGGGATGGTATTTGTTGTTTGTTTGTTTGTTTGTTTGTTTGGGAGGGTCTCCCTATGCAGCTCAGGCTGGCCTGGCCTTCAGTTTACTATGTAGGCCATGCTAGAATTGAACTCCCAATAATCCTCCTGTCTCAGCCTCCCAAGTGCTGGGATTACAGGCTTATGTCACCATGCCTGCCTAG